AGACGTCACCATGCCCAGGCTGCTTCCGAGGGCCCTCCTGGTGCAGTCCTGGCCCTATGGGGATGGAGGAGAGCCAGCTGCACCGGCTGGGCCCGCCTGCACTGCCTGTGTCCAAGGACTGCTCCTGTGTCTTCAGATCCCCTCCCTCCAGGATGTTTTACATATTTTAATTAAAGTGCCGCCCTGGGCTGGCAGGGACTCTGATAGATGGCTCTGCTCCGAATTGCAGGGTTGCGGTGGTGTGAAACATGGCATCCCACGACGCACTCCTGCTCTCGAGGATGCTTTGGCTTCCACCCCTGGAGGCGGGTCCACTCGGGTTCCAGGAAGGGAGGCAAGCCGGCAGGCAGGCAGGCGGGCGGTGAGCAGGGGGCCGGCACATCCAGGGATGGCCAAGGCGGGGCTCAGGGATGGGAGAAGAGTGCAGCTAGGAACACGCCATGGACGGTTTCCGAGGACCAGCTGGCTGGTCTGCTGTGGATGAATCCGATTCTTGCAGACACACAGCCTCGTGGACACTCCTTATCAGTGTCAAATGATGACAAATGGCGATGGGTAGAAGTCGCTGGGTGGCAGCTGCCGCATCTCAGAGGGAAGCAGGTATTTTTAGCCCTGGCCTTGGGCTCTGGCTCCAGCTTAATTAATCATGGTGAACAGCACCGAGTTTGGTTTCTGGTCCTGGTTCCCACCCCCACCCCAGCCGTGTCCCCATTCCCCAGACTGGAACACTAGCTGCAGAGATGGAAGTCCTGCACAGCTAATGTGGCCCGTGACAGGCTTTACAGGGCACTGGCGATGCCCTGGGGGAACCATCCCATTCCCACGCCCCCCTTACCTCCAGTCACCTGGGCCTCTTTTAAGTTCCTCAAGCCCATTCCTGCCTCACAGCCTTCCCACCTGCTCCATTGCCTTTTGAACATTACCCCCAGGTATCCTCATCCCTCTGTCTCATCCCAAACACCCTCGCCTCACAGACATGCTCCCTGAGCTCCCCTCCCCCAACAGGCTCTCTGCCACTGGGTTCTGTTTGTTTCCATCAGAGCACTTAGCATCAGCCAAAATCACCTTATTCGTTGCTTGCTTCACTTTATTGTCTGTCTCCTTCCATTGAAATGCCACTGGCTTGAGAACAGGGATCTTGTCTATCGTGTTTGCTATCTTAAATCCCTGCAGCCTCACTCAGTGTACACAGGGCAGGAACTCAGTGTGTCTGAATATGTGACTGGATACATGGATGGATGGATGGGTGGATGGATGGATGGATGGATGGGTAGATGGATGTGTGGATGGGTGGATGGATGTGTGGATGGGTGGATGGATGGATGGGATGGATGGGATGGATGGGTGGATGGATGGGTGGATGGATGGATGGGTGGAAAGCTGGCTAGGTGAATGGATGGGTGGAAGGCGGGAGGGAAGACCCTCCATGGGCTTGGATGTTAAGATGCAGTGCGTCAAGGTTGCTGTTGTTGGTAGAGGCACATCTGGGGAGACACTGTGTAGCCACATCCTTACCCAGGCCAGCAGCCACCATGGGAGGCCCAGACCCAGGGGATTCTGGGAAAAGGGTGTGCTAGGTGGAGCCAGCCACTGCCCTCTCTGCTTTGGAAATGTTCGCCCACATGCTCTTTGATGTTTCTCAATTGTTTTTTTCCCCATAATTTTTTCTTGGGGATGGAGAGAGATGGCCCAGTTGTAAGGGACTCCCAGAAGGTTGCTTCCCTACTCTGCCTGAAGGCTGACGTTAGTAGTGCATTTAGAGGGTAAGCATGGTCCTTTATTGTTTTCTCTCCAACTATAACTATTCTTTGTGGAAGCCACAGTTGGTTGCCTATCTTCCCCTTTCTCGCTTGGGAACAGAAGCCCAGTTTGGTGCTTGTATTGGCAGGCCTCTGCTTTCAGGAGGCCTGGCCCAGCCCCAGATCCAGGGGGGCCCGTGATTAGTCCGAGCCAACCATAGGAACTCCACCCCCAGCCAGTGCTGGGGATAGAAATGCGGCTGTGGATGTGATTCTAACTAACAGATGTGAGCAGCTTCGGAGGGTTTCCCTCACTTTTAAAGAGGTACATGATGGACTGCATCCGTGTCATGTCCCTTTTCCTGATCCTAAGAAGGATTGAGGTTCATTTTGCATGCAGAGGCAGACGCATGGGTAGGGGGTACGGGACAGGGTTGGGGAGGGAGGTGGATCCACGTACCCAGCAGGAACGGCTCCCACCCAGCAGAGCCCAACCCGGGACCTTCTAAAACACGCCCCCTCCTGAGCCCCTTGTCATCAAGGTCGAATCTGATCCTCAGGGCGTAGAGTTTGGATTTCTGTGGGGCTGATACCCATTATTCTGAGACACAGGAGAGCCTCTGAGCTGCTGAAACAGACCAGGGACAGGGACGCCCTCCTGACCGCGGCCTGGAGATGCCGTGTCAGGAGATGTTAGAATTCTTTTCTCTTGACACCTTCAAGGCGACGAATGGGTGTGCGCCTTCTTACTTTCTCAGGATATGTGGAAGGAAATCTGTGAGGAAAGCACAGGCCTGGACGATAAAACTTCTAGGAGGGGAACATTCAGAGCATGTGCACGTGGAGTTGCCCCGGCTGAGGATGCACGGAAGGTCCGGGAAGCCACCAAGCCCGAGGTCTTCCGCTGACAGAGCGCTCATTTGCTCTCAGCCTCTGCGGGGGCTCATGTGGAAACAGGGGCCCCCCGGTAGGTTCTAAGGAGAAATGAACTGAAACCTCGTTAAAAGGGCACCAGGGAAATTGAGAAATTGCTATTCCTTCTTAACTTTTGCTACTTTTCTTCTATAGTTCTGGTTATGACTGCCACCATTCCCTGTGGGAGACAGAGACAAAGAGGCAGAGAATCAAGTCAGAGAGACACAAAAACACGCAAAGAACAACAGAAACCAGAAGACAGAGACACGTTCTTCCTTTGGCTGATTCAAGACATGTTTGTTGAGAACTGCTGTGTGCCCGACCTGCATACACCCTCCCCGTTAATACACTGCAAGACCGCAGGCTGTTTGCACCATCTCCCCCAACCCCATCTGGGCCTTAGGCAGGGGGATTCAGAGGGTGCTGTTTCCGCTCAGACCAGTAGGTGTCATCGTTTCAGAGGGAAAGCTAAGGGGAACTGCGGGAGTTGATAGCCACCTGAGAATATAAATTCTATTTCATCAGTTTTCAGAGTGCCATTATGTGCAGGGCACCAGGCAGGACACTTGAGGGCACATAGGATGGGAAATGCACAGTTCTTGTCCTCATGGAATTTACTGAGCCATCGGGGACCTGGAAGAACAAGGTGCTAGGTCACCAAAAAGGGGAGAAGGTGGTAAATGCCTTGAGAGACGGTTAAAGGAAGGACTGTGTGGATCCTGGAACATCAGAGACCTCAGAGAAGCTCTCTTCGACCTTCTCATATTACAGCAGAGGGACTAGACTCAGAGAGGGGAGGTCATTAACCTGTAGTCACACAGCAATTCCAGACTCCAGATCTCCTGACTCCTAGAGCAGTGCTCTTCCCACCAAATATTCTGTTTCAATAACTGGAACTGCTGCCCCATCTTGAGATTCAAAGTCCCACCTTGGTTTAGCAATGAACCTCCCTGCAAAATGCCCTCTCTGATGCCTACTGCAAGAGACTCTAGATAAGTCAACCTGCATCTGGGAGCAGGCAGCCGCCCTCATCACGGGTCCTGTGGAGCTGGAGTCGCACAGGCTCATGAGGGCTGACTGTGCGCATCTCTTCCCAGAGACATCATATTGGTAGCTTGAAATCAGCCACAGTGGGGGTGTTGACACCATGGAAATCAGCAACAGCTGTAAATCAAGGGTTTGGTTTTTTTTCTTTTCTCCCAGAGAGCTGCCCACCACTGAATTAGTGTCCCTACTTTATAGATACACAGACTGAGGCTCAGGGAGGTGAGCTAATCTGCCAAAGAGACACAGCTTTTAGGTGGTGGAGCTGAGACCCCAGCTCAGGGGGTCTGGGGCTAGAGGGCCCAGAGTCAGTAGGACTTAGTCGCTTGGATGTGGAAGGGTCCAGGTTGATCCTGGGTTTCTCATGTGGGTAGTGACATGAGCGCTACCCTGTGGTGGCGTCATTAACCTGCCAGCGACACTGGAACAGGAATTGTTCATTGGGCGAAATGAGAACTAGTCCCGTTTTGGGTGAATTGAACATGAGGCCCGTTGTTGGAGAGACGCATTTAGATCTGGAGGCCAGGAGAGAAGTCTGGGCAAGAGACGGTGATCTGCGAGAGGGAGGTTTGTCCTTGACTAAGCCAGATGGAGCTTAGCTGGAAACACTGACCTTTCCTATAGTGATCAGGTCAGAGGTGCGAGGTTCACCCTTCTGTATGTTTTTCTCCTCTCTGTCAACATGCAGGCATGATCCGGCAGGGCGAGATCCGGCTCACGCTTGTTCCCTGGTCCTGGGGCATAGTGAGTGCTCCATAAGGACGTGAATAAGTGAATGAGGGACCGATTTTGCCCTGCACATACTGAATCGGCACTGCTGTGGACCATCCAGCAAAACCTCAGCACATTTCTCACAGCTTCCACGATCATCTAGAATTCTCGCATCATTACAGGAGTATGGATTTGGAATCAGAAATTACCTTTTTTTTTCTTTTTTAGCATTTTAGAGCTACAAATAGGCATCATCTCTTACGATGTCCTTGTTTCACTGGTGAGATGCTGAAGCCTGGAGACCATTCCGAGACCACCCAGACTTGGCAGCTCGTGAGCCCGGCGTGGCCTGCCTTGCTCTGGCTGGTTTACTTCCCTGCTCTGGGCCTCAGTTTGTCCCTCAGGTTAGAGGAGAGCTCGAACTCTGGTTCTGGAAGGGAGATGAGTTGACGGGACTCCACATCTCAGGAGCGACGGCTTGGGTAGAGGAGAGACAAAGCAACCAAGGAGGCTACATTATGCAAATGAAGGGATTGTGGCCTTCCTCCTGATTGGCTGAAGGGCCCTGATGTCACAGTGGGTGGGGTTTCTCCACTCCAATAATCGTGTCTCTAGCCAAGGGAAACTCCCCACCCTGCTGGTCTCTTAGTGCCTTCTCTCTGTCCAAAAGGGAAGAAAGACCATGGAACCCCTCTGTCAGGCTGGGTCCATTCTCATGAAGGTGAATACCTTACAAGGGAAGAAGATGGTGGAGAGCGGCCTCCAGTCTGGAGACTTTTCCCTCCCCCAGTCCTGCCTCCTGCCGCTGGCTGACCTGGAGATCCTGCAGCAGAAGGTGGCCGGCATGCAACGGGAGCTGGAGGACTTTAAGAATGAGGCGTTGAAGGCCATCCATCACCTGGAAGGTGCCTTCTGCGAGATGAATGGGGCTCTGGCACAGCAGGAGGAGCAGGCGGCCCGCGTGAAGCAGCGGCTGAGGGAGGAGGAAGACCGCGGCGTCGTCCGAAATAAAGTCCTCACCTTCCTGCTGCCCCGGGAGAAGCAACTCCGCGAGCACTGCAAACGGCTGGAGGGCATGCTGCTGGGCAGGGGCCGAGAGGCGCTGGGCATCCCCAGGAAGATCCAGGCCAACTGAGGCCTCCTCGAGCAGAAGCCAAGCTTCTAGCCCAGCCGCCAAGTAGATTGTTTTTAATGGAAGGACAAACCCTAAGTCCCTCCGCGTTGGCTTCCCTTTCCCCATTTCCATTGCTTTCTTTGTCCCTAAATAACACTTTGCTTGCTGAGAGGCGAAAAGACCCCAGTATGTTCTTTGGGTGAAGCTCCACTTATGTGGCACCATCAAAGAAGGAGGCACCCCAATAGTCTTTCAGATGCCTGTAACTTCCACCTTTAACTGTTTTCCTGTTTGTGGTGGTAATAGTGCTCAAATGTATAACATGGTTTTTTTTGTCTTCTTAAACTGACTGTGTTCAACAGATTTATCTTTCTTGTAATGACTCAAGGCTCTCCTGATTCGTTGCTGAATGCACGGTCCACCGAGAGGGGTGGACCGTCCCCCCAGGTGCTGATGGCCCCACCTTGGTCTGCTCTCGCATTCCCATCCTCCCCTCGTTGGCTGTGCTGCCGACTGTCGCTGCTGGACTGTCATATCTCACTTTGCTTTGCTGCCTCTGCCCACCTCTACTTCCTCTCCCTTTACCTGCAGACCAGCCCATCCTAGCAACAGACCTTATCAGGGCTCTGATGGGTAGAGTCATATGAGCTTAGTGCCCTGAGGATGCGACACCTACAAGGTGGGGCTGTGAAGTGGGGACACTAACTTTCACGTCTGGAGCAGGAATTGTTACGGTGCCTGGCCATTCACCAGGCAAGGTACACACACCATCCCACTCACTTCCCCAGAAGCCTCTGGAAGCGAGCCGCGTTCCCCATGGCGCGCAGGGGGAAGCTGACCTCAGGGAGGTTCCCATGCCAGAAGGTGGTAGGACTGTGGTTCAAGTCCTGGTCATCTGTGCTCATTTGCCATCCTGCTGTCCCTTTGGAACCGCGTCAGGCTGTTCATGGACCCATCCTTCTCGGGGGTGGAGCTTGTCCCACAGGTGACTTGGCGGTTCCTTGGCTGTCACTGTGCCTTGTATTTCCGATGAGCCTTTCTGTTTCATCGAGTCACATCTCCTCCCTCTGGTCCCCCAAACGCTGCCATGCAGCAGAGACTCTCCCCTAAACAGCAGAAGCAAGGTGCTGGAGGCCAGAGTCAGCTCCTGAGCCGAGTCGGGCCTCTGTCCCAGCTCAGGACTTGCAGCCTCTGCCAGGCCCTCTGATAGCTCAGCTCAGCCCCACCCTCCCCCCTCCCCATCTCACAGAATCCCTCCAAACAAGATTGGAACACCTGGACCCCCCAAGCTGAACTTCACAAAAGGATCCTGTGACCCCTTGTTAATTGCAATAGCCAGCCATCAGCCATCTGCCCTGGAGGGCTGCATCCCATTCCAACTTTAGGCAGATTCTACTTTAGAAGGTTTAGCTGAAGTGGTAATAATAATGTTAATACTGGTAATATTACTGCTACTACCAGTAGCTTGCAGTTATCAAGAACATGATATAGTCTAGGCGCCAGGCTTGGCTCTTTGGAGGTAGGTACTAGTATAACCTTCACTTTAGGATTCCGAGGAAACCAAAGCTCAGAGAGGCTAAGTAATTCACCTAAGTTCACACAGCTGATAAATGGTGGAGTTGAGGTTTGAACTTAGTAAAGTCTAACTTCAGAGGCTGTGCTCTTAACCGCTATGCAGTGTTTTTGGAAGCCTTATGAATATCTGCTAAATACTTCTTGAGGAGATAAAATATGAGCATAATGAAATTGGTGAGGTGAGCTCTGGGAGAAAAGATTGCTTTGTGGGGGGATTCCTGTGCCCTAAACCTGGTAGGAGATGCCTCTGTGTATGTTTACAAATGTAGCTGAGCAGGAGAACTTGATGGGCCAACTATAAGAAGATGTTTAAAAAATCAGTTGCCCTATGCAGAGGAAACTGGATCTAACACTAATTCATACGGAAAAGGATTTGAGTCTGCTGCAGGTCCGGCATGGAATGTGACTGCTCGGAGATGATGGTGTCGCGGGCATTCTGAGAAGAGATCCAGAGATGCTGCCCTGGGATTGGTGCTCACCAGAACATACCTTGAGCAGCCAGTGCTTAGTTCTGGTGTAACGTTCTGGAGGGTCCTAGACAGCCTGGAGTGCTCCCAGAGGACGGGGGCAAACCCAGGAATCCTGAGGAGGGGGCGTGGTTGGAGGACCTGGGGCCTTGGCTGCAGATGTTTGGAGGGGAGACCAGATCCGGACCTCCCAAACACTGGAAGGCCTGGCTATATTTGGAGTTTGAGGGGGCTGATAAATGTCACCCCTCTTTTCCTTGCCTCCTTTAGGAACCAGTTGACGGATAGAGAAGCCAGGAAAATGGAGACAAAAAAAAAGATCACCTTTATTGCCGATAAAGCTGCTTGAGAAGGTGGGTTAGGGTCTGAGCCAGGTGGGCTTGCTAAGACCTCGTCCCTGAACCTCGCATGGTCCCCAGCACAGGTGCTGGCGGTGGTGGACAGCTGCCACTGTAAACGGGAGAGTGTGACGTCTCTACAGAGGGACAGCTCAAGAGAGAGGAAGGGGTCCTTGGTGCAGGCGTTGATCTCTCTCCCAAACCCACCCACCAAAAGTCACTCTCCTTTCCTGGGGAGAGGAGTGAGTGAGGGGAAGGAGAGCCAGGAATGCTACTTGAGTGGTGGTCCCTCCATATTCAAAGAGGAATGGGAAAAAAGGGTCCCCCATAACAATTAGGAAAAGGGTAGGCTGAAGCCATGTAATTCTACAGGGTAGTACTAGTGACAAAGTGGGGATGCCAGTGGGAGGCAGATTTCAGCCCTACAGAGGAAACAAAACTTTGGGTGCTGCTTATGTGTCTGTGCAGTGAAGGGCTGACTCAGCAGGTGTGGGATGGTCAAATTGCACACATTTCAGAGAAAGGTCTGGCCCTTGACCAACTCCTGGGAGGAGGCCTTGTAATATGCTCCTGATAAGAGCGTCTTTGTCTGCCTGGGGCCTTGGGTCACACCTGAGAGTTGGTTCTAACAATATGATTTATGGTGGGGGCCCTGGACCAGCTTGACCTCTGGAGAGGCTGAGTAACTCAGATCAGCCACAGAGGTGCTCCACGCCTGGTGATAAACCACCAATAAAAACCCTGGACACCAAGACTCAGGTGAGCTTCCCCAGCTGACAATACTTCATATGTGTTGTCACACAGCATCTCTGGGGAAAGTAAGCATTGCCCCTGCAGCTCCACTGGGAGAGGCAACTGGAAGCTTGTGCCTCGTCCCTCCTGGACCCCGCCCTGCGTTCCTTTTACTTTTGCTGGCCTTCACCTGCGTCCTTTAGGTGTAACAAGCTGTAAGCATGTGTATAACAGCTTTTCTTTGTGAGTCGTTCTAGTGAATCATTGAACCTCACGGTGGTCTTAGGGACCCATGACGCAGTGTTAGATGCACTTGACATTTGGTCCTTATTATCCTCACAATAACCTTGTGAGCGAGGCACTGTTATTCCCATGACTGATGAAGAAACTGAGGGATAGAAAGGTTAAGTAACTTGCCTGGGAGTACACAGCAAGACTTCAGAGCTCCCTCTCTTGACCACCCCCCCCCCCAATCACCAAAGGAAGGGACTTGGAGTGACAGGCTGGCCCCCTTTGCTAGAAGGTCCCATGGAGTGGCCCCAAGGCCCTCCAGCTTCAAGGCGGTCAGTCATCCTGGAGGGATGATGATGACAAAGTGCTGGAGGAAGAGGCAGGAAGCTCGTGAATTTCCTGTCTTGGAGAGCTCAGGTGCACCTCTGTCCAGGTTGGGATCGTGGAGACAGGATGAAAGTCTTCTCTGCCGCATGGCTGCAAGCTTTCCTCTCCTCTCTCAAGAGCTTTCAGCTGCAAGCCACAGGATGCCCATTATGCTGATTTCTTTAAGAAGAGTCTACTTTTTCACATAACAAGACATCTGAAGTTGATGGTTGGTTCAGTAACTCAGCAATGACAGGGCTCTGGGTTGGAATGTCTGTGGTCCCCTTTCCTCTTTCCCTCACTGCCACCTCCTCACCCATGGTCACATGATGATGGCAGCAGGAGTTCCAAAATTGTGTCATTGCTTGACAACTTCCAAAGCAAGAAAGAAGTGGCAGAACTTTCCTTGCAAGCCTCCGTCTTATCAGAGAAGAAACCCTTTTCCAGGATCCCCCAGCAGATTTTCTTTGACATCTCTTCGGCCATTCCTGGGTTGCTTGCCCACCTAACCCAATCATGAGCAAAGCAGAAAGCAATTGCCACAACTCAGGCCCTGGGACTGGGCACCCCACTTACCCAAGATCTGAACAAAATCGAAGTTCCATTAGGAAGGCTGGCTGTTGGGAGGCAACCAACCCCAGCGGCCACAACCTCAGTCTTACCTTTTCTTCTTAACTCATATCGAGGGCCGAGAAGAAGAGCACTCTGAGGGATGGCGTGGCTGGGCAGAGCAGGGCAGTGTGAGTGGCTGTCACATGGCTGCGGGAAGCATAGATTTGGGTCTGGGAATTGGGGAGATGGGCTAAATGGAGGTGTGGAGCGACACTTCAGTGCTGTGGGCGCAAACCCATTACCCTCGCTTGCTCCACCCTCACCTGTCCCATACCCAGCCTTCACCCCTGAAGTCAGAGGCTTAAGATGACCCAAAGGGTGCCAGGGAGACTTCGGACCCTTCAGTCCTTAAAATAGGCAGCCACTCTTAGAGATGTAATCCATGTGTCACCATCTAGGGGGACCAACTAGTCCTGGTTTAACTGGGATTGTCTCTGTTTGAAAACTAAAAGTCCCACGTACCAGGAACCCTGTCAGTCCTGGGCAAACTGGGATGGCTGGTCACCTTGCATGAGTGGGGCGGGTCACAGGAGGTCAGGACAAGAAATAAGGATGGTGGTGGCCGTCTCTGCTGGGTTGGTGCATCTTTGCTTTCATTTTAAGCAGAGGTGGCTGGCCGGCCCATTCTGCGGCAGGAGGGGCTTCTCCTTGACTTCACGTCTCCTCCCCACCCTCAGGTCCTTGTCCACCACCTCAAGTCGGCAAGGGGATTGGAGAGCGAGGTGTTTTCTGAGCAACTTTTGAGATCCTTGTGTGGACGGTTGAGGCTCCTGATCAGGTCACACCTCACAGCTGAGACCCTAGTCCTGGAGGAGAGCGGACTGCATGCAGAGTAAGGAGCTCAGGACCTGTGAGTCGTCCCAGGGAGAGACAGCTTTTTGCGCCTTTGGGAGATGGAGTTCCTCCCACTCTTCTCCTCCAGACTGTGAACAATAAAGTTGAGCAGCCCAACTGCTCATTTTCTTTGAAATTCTAAAACAAACAAATAGAAGACAATAACAGATGGCTTTCTCCCTGC